AAAAAATTGGACAGTTAGAATTAAGGTCCGTCTTAAAAGTTTAGGTAAAATGAATTTTCTTGAATAACTTTTAAAATACTGAACTTTTGATTGATTTAATAATTGAAATGAGATCAAAATACATCATATTAAATATCATTGAAAACATAATTTAACAATTTAATAGTTATTAAGATTCTTACAAAAATAGAAATTTTGCTAAACATTGTTGTCCCAAAAGTTTAGGTAAATTTCAAAAATTACATTGAAAAAATTTTTAATGGCTAATTGTGCTTCCATTATTTTTAATAACATCATACATATGATTCGGCATTGAATTTACAAGAGTTTGTTACAATTCTAGTTCTAAGTTATACCATGAATCCTCAATTGCACATTTAAGTTCTATAACATTTGGAAAACTGACTTGTCATGATCCCCCTTAAGTTTTCTATTGGGTTTAGATCAAGACTTCTTGCAGACCATTTCATAACATTCACATTTTGATTCTGAAGCCATGTTTTGGTTGAATTTGAACAATGAATGGGGGCATTGTCCTGTTGAAATGTCCAATTTTGATCACTTATCATTCTGCTACAGGAAGGAGATGTGTTCTAAGGTTGTCTTGATAATGTTCTGAAGTCTGATTTTCATTAAGAAATACAAGACTGGAAATTTCATTGAATCCAAATGCTCCTCACACCATTAGAAAGTCACCACCTTGTCTGCTGTAAAACACTCAGTCTTCTGTTCTTAGATCATGCCAGTAGTAATTCCTGCCATCAGGATCATCTAAATTCCACTTTTTTTCATCACTAAAGAGAATTTTGTCTAGATATCAGTCTAATAATACATCTTTCATCTGTGGGTGATGTTACTTTATATTGACCTAACATGTTGCTGGTTTAAAATTTTCTTTTCTTGCTAAAACTTTATATTTATTCCTGTATCTGAACAACCCATTTTGCTTGAAATTTCAGTAACTGAACGTTCACTTGCTTTCAATCTCCAAATTTCAGTCACTCCTGAAGAAAATTGATTTTCTTTGGGCATCTTGTTAATTTCAATAATAACCATTATAAAAATTAGATTTTATTATTAATAGTTATAACTGATGTCATTCATTATGAATTTGTGTAGTAATTTGTTCAGAAACAAATAAAATATTATTATTACCTAAACTTTTTGACAGACCTTATATTTTGGTTTCATTATACAGAAAAATAAAAACAGAGATTGATGCTAAAAGTTGGTAGATGGCACTGTGATCGATATCGACAAAACTATTTAAACTTTTGTTTACTGTTGAATTTAAATTTTAATGTATTTAATTAATAAACTTTTAGTGTTGAAAAATACATGATTCCTATCATAACATATGGTAGGATAGAACATAGGAAGTGATGGCTATGGTTTGACAGTAAGTGTGACTCCATGTCTTTTGCAAGCTCAAACTATTCATAAAGTAACAGATTCTAAATATGGGATAGGAGGTTTTGCAGTTCTCTTTTTCCACCCATAGCCCTCCATTTATTTGACAAAAAGTTCTTGTTTTTGTCGAATAAATGGAGGACTGTGGGTGGGGAAAAGAACTGCAAACAAGGTGGATGATAAACTGAAATTTGGAAATTGTATATCCAAAATTGGATACAGCAGTAATTATTATTTGCAGTTCATTTTGTATCGATTGTGGAGAAGAGGAGTACAATTATGGCCTACAAATTATAGCCGTATTTACTTATCTAGTAGGTTGGAAGGTATAACATAAGGCACTGAACTGAACTCATGGTGTACAGTGTAAACCAGATGCGTGGTGGTTCTACATAAGGCTAGAAATAAAAATGCGATTTTTCTGTCTTGTTCCCTCTCAACAGAGAATTAGATGGAGGGATAAACATCTGACAGAATTTAACAAAAGTTGAAAAACTAGAAAAATTATATCAGGTTCTGGTCTAACTTTCACCATCACTGGCCTTTTGGTTACTCCTACAAACATGGCTTGCCTGCACCTGTTTTTTGAGGTTTAAAAACACAAACATGGCTGACCTTTTCACATGTTAGTCAACAGATAAACCCATTCCACATATTTCTTGGAAAAGATCCCAGCCACTTTTTTTTTAAGACATTTAGTCCCTCATTCTAGTTCAGTTATCTCTTCAAAATTGAAATCTAAATCAAGAATTGTTGAAATGGTAGGAACAGCCTCACCTGAAATACACCAATTTTGTAAAACTGATATTATCTTCATTTTTAACATACTTTGATGTTATGTTTGCTAATACACTTTTACTATAAAACTCCTACACAATTAAACAGGTGCTTAACATGTAGGAAGCCCTCCTCCTAATAACTGAATATAATTACTTCCAGTTCAATGGTCAATATTTCTTACAAAAATGGGGTGTGCCCGTGGACTCATCTCTTTCTGCAATTTTAGCCAAGTTGAAGAAACATTAAATTTAGTCTTTGTTTCATCACTTGCAATTTGTCATCCCAATTTATACCTTAGACATGTTGTTGATATCTTAATAGCTTGGGAAGGTACCTTTGAAGAATTGTCAACTTTTATTAAATTCCTGTTAGGTGTTTATCCCTCCATCTATTTCTCTGTTGAGAAAGAACAAGACAGAAAAATCACATTTTTAGCATGTACCACTATAGTAGTGAAGTGCTTATGTTAGGACTTTTGTGTGTCTGCAGACATTATATATTTGAGATTATGATCCATTCAATCCATTCATTGTGCATGTGCAAAACAGAACTGAACATTTTCATTTATGGTCACTGTAAGCTATAGTAAAAACTATGCAGTTTCTCTGGAATCTATAAAGCACATCCCTTACTGTATATTCAGTGAAAAATTCTTCTGAACAACTACTTGATTCCAAGAATTTATAAAATTTATTTTAAACAAAATTAATATTTGATTCACTTTTGTGGTGCTATCAGATCGTCTTGACCAATCTTGTTATATCTAGCCTTATGTAGAATCACCACTCATCTGGTTTACACTGTACACCATGAGTTCAGTTCAGTGCCTTATGTTATACCTTCCAACCTTCTAGATAAGTAAATGCGGCTATATTTGTAGGCCATAATTGTACTCCTCTTCTCCACAATTGATACAAAATGAACTGCAAATAATAGCTACTGCTGTATGCAATTTTGGATATACAATTTCCAGATTTCAGTTTATCATCCACCTTTTTGCAGTTCTCTTTCCCGTCCACAGCCCTCCATTTATTCGACAAAAACAAGAAATTAATATTTGCAAAACCTCCTATCCCATACTTAGGGTCTGTTACTTTATGAATAGTTTGAGCTTGCAAAAGACATGGAGTCACATTTACCATCAAACCATAACCATCACTTCATGGCATTCTATATAATGATAGGGATTCTCTTACCCTTTTGGAGAAGTCTGGAGTTCATATAGTCTCATTACAACAAGTGCAGGCAGAAGGGAGCAATGATCTTTTATGTAGCTGCCACAACTAGAAAGTTATTAAATCATTTAAATGAACACCAGGACAAGTTACAAATAACATAGCCTCATTGTCCTTGTGAGAAACATAGAAAATATTTGTACTCTACTATCAGCCCATACTGTCATTCTTAGATTGCAAAACTTTGTTCCTCTGAAAGTTGTTATACACATCTTTATTAAAACCCTGCAACTCTCCCACTTTGAAAATTTTTGCTATATGGATAACATTTTATAAAAATTTAAAACCATACTTTTTATCTAGATTTAGTTTTTGTTTTCATTACTTTTATACTTTATTTTACTTAGCCTTATGTTAGCTATCTATTTTCATATCTTATTTATTCTTTATTCATATTTTATATATTGATAACACTTTCTGTGTTTGTTTTAAACTTAAATCAAAATCTTTATTGCACATGCAAAAACTAACACATTTTGGTTAAAATCATTCTTATGTTCATATAACTTAAAAAGATCTTAAAATCAATATTGAAATTTTATATATTATTTTCCACTTGAAGAAGACATTCTGAAATATTGAAAGTATTTCTATTTAATTCATCAAACAAATAAATTTAATGCTGAAAAACAATACAATTCCTTATGTATAGATCTTGTTGATATTCCCACACTCACATTGACTTAACTACATGATTGAAAAGAAGTATCTTGTATAACTTGATGCTGATTGTAGTGCTGAACTTGGGAAATTCTCTTTAATGCATTCATTACAATTTGCATTCTATCTTTTCAAATCACTTTTGCCATTAAATATTCTTTTATAAAGTTTTGTGCATGATATGAAAAATTATAAAATGTGTGTTTACAGCAGATTTTTAGGAAATATGTATTGAATTATTTTTTTCCAAAAATATGTGTTTTTATGTGAAATAAAATTCTAAATACAATTCACCAACCTTATTATGTTTTGCAGTTATTTTAGAACGTAACACAAGCATGTTTGGTCCACCCTAGGACTTTCTTCATGCAGAGTTCTAGAAAAAATCATTCTAGTGTTCTGTTCAGCTTTGATGTATTCTAATTTTGAATGTTTCTATTTTTGAATTTAATTTAAAAAAAATTTTTAAGAATGAGTGCATGCCTCGGCTAATATAGCAGCAGATTGTACAGTACATAGCCTGCCATGCCTTTGAGAGTTGTTTTTCATCTTTAAAATTAATCGAAAGGCCCTGGCAGTCCACCTTAAAAATATCTAATGCCTCCAAATTCTTAAGTTGGTTTATATGATGGATTTGCTGGATTATGATAGCTCATTTTAGTTTGGGTGTAATCCTGATCTCACTAGCATATATAGTGTTTTTCTTCTTTTCAATATCAGTTTTGTGTTCAAGGAGGCATTTGAGAGATCTTCTTGTAGACCTAATACAGTGGGTGATTGGTTAATGAACACTTTCGCGAAAGATTTTTATGATCGGACAACAAACACATGATCGGATAACGAACACTTCACTGAACAAACATAAAAAGAAGCGACAAAAATAGCAAATACCGACTGATTTTCCTTTGTTTTCAGGTAACTTTTTGGAGCGCAGGAGACCTCAACGTCGATGTTCAACCTGATAATATACTGATTAGATAGTATTCCTTGAACTTTGAAATACTCCCTTGTAATTCCAACCTTTTATTTTTCTGGCAAACATTTCTTTTATAGTATTTGCGAGACTGTCGGGCAGGCACTCAATAAGTTTTGTGTCAGTTTTTATTTTTGAAAGATGACAGTATAATAGCAAAGGTAGAGAGTGGGCAGAAGATGTCTGATGTTGCTGGGCAGTATGGCTTGAACAGGTCTACAGTAGGTCGCAGTTCAATCTTATCTAAGAAAGATACTGTATTATCAAGAAGACTCATGCAGCTAAAGGAGTAACAAAAATCACATCTGAGAAATAAAGAACAATGAAGAGCTCATGATGGAACCTGAAATGGCTCTGATGACAGAAGAATGCCAAGAACTGTTGAATGGAGAACACCAATAAACTCGGCAAGATATGCTTTATTCTGAAAAAGAGGTCTGCTATTAATTAAAGATTTTTTGAAGAACTGGGGGATGTCAGATCAGCATACAAACCAGGTTGAGGTTAATAGGCTTGGGGATCTCTACAATTACAATGCTATTAACTACTTCTGAAAAATCCTGAAGAAGAGAGAAAAGCAGTCGACATTAGACAGATTATTTAACCCCCACAAACAAAAAACCATAACTAATAAAAATGCACGTCTGTGTATATATGTATTTTTATTATTACAATGCTATTAATTACTTCTGAAAAATCCTGAAGAAGAGAGAAAAGCAATCGACATTAGACAGATTATTTAACTCCTACAAACAAAAAACCATAACTAATAAAAATGCACGTCTGTGTATATATGTATTTTTATTATTACATATAAATAAACATAGTAAGAAAGTATATATTTTTTATTTTGGGGTGTCTCCAGAATGAATTAATCAAATTCCCATACAAACCTAAGGTAAATCTGTTAGGAATGTGGCTGTTACGTGTGAAAAAGTTTATCTCCTAGTCCTCTGACAGGTATAGTGAGACATATGAGGGCACTGTTTATTTGTTCTAGTTGCCAATGACCCTCTAAGTTATTATTACTAACAACACGTGTGTCCCTTATGTAACACGTGTGTCCCTTATGTAACATGTGTGTCCCTCTGTAACATGTGTGTCCCCCTGTAACTGTTGTGCGTCTGTAGTCTTCGTGGGGTAAAGACGTGTAGAAGTTTCGTCTAGGCCATAATTGTACTCCTCTTCTCCACAATTGATACAAAATGAACTGCAAATAATAGCTACTGCTGTATGCAATTTTGGATATACAATTTCCAAATTTCAGTTTATCATCCACCTTTTTGCAGTTCTCTTTCCCGTCCACAGCCCTCCATTTATTCGACAAAAACAAGAAATTAATNCCGTCTCCCGTATACATCCTTGCTGGCTCAATATATCCGACTTAACGAACAAATATTACTAACAAAAGGTTATGGGCCCAGAAATGTCTTCCAAGTAGCCCAGAAATGTCTTCCCAGGACCAGAAGTGTCTATCCAAATAATCCAGGACAGTAATAGTTTTTTTTGTTCGATTTGGTACTGGATTTATCTGAGATTTGGTGGGATCCGATAAACAACGTGCGAGATGGAGAATCTACATGGAGATATGTTCACAAAAGAAGGTTTCGTCAACTTTCAAAAACTGGATGGTTCATCCAATTTATCATCGTGGCAATTCAACGTAAAAATGCTATTGATGAAGGAAGATCTGTGGGCAGCGATCGAGATGCCAGTAACAGATAGAGAACCTATGGCAAAGGAAAAAAGTTGTGATCGAAGGGCGTTAGGAACGATAGCCCTGACAGTTGGGGACCATGTTAAAGTCGATATCCAACACTGTACAAGTGCAAAGGAAGCATGGGATACAATAGCAAATCTCTACGAAGATAGGAGTATTCTGAGAAGGCTGCAAATAAAAAGGGAACTTTACTCCATGGGTTTTAACACATGTTCAGGTATGGCTGCTTATATTAACAAAATACAAACCCTCATTGACCAGTTGAGGAAAATCGGTTGTGTAATCGATGATCAGGAGCATGCATACGTTTACCGGAAGAATATGATAGTTTAGTGACCAATCTAGCGATTGCCGCAGACGTAAAATTAACCTCAGTTGCAGTTAAATCTAAACTGCTGCAACAGGCTGCCAGAAAACATGAATGCAGTAACACTAATGAGTCAAAAGTGTTTAGTGCAACAAGAAACCGCTTTGATAGAAGAGGCACTGGTATCAAACAAAAGTATGATGATACAAAAATCTTTAATGGAAAATGCTTCAAGTGCAACAAACATGGACATAAGGCATCACAATGTCACAGTGAAACAGATCCGAACCAGAAAAATCGGATAATATTATGTTCAATTAAAAACAAAAGTGTTGATGCACATGACTCTGATTGGATTATAGACAGTGGCAGCGCTCATCATTTAAGTTATGCTCGTGAGCTTTTCGTAAAGTTCAGACCAGCTAATCACGTGATATATGTGGCAAACGATTCAACTTTAAAAGTCGCAGGTGAAAGTGATATATCCTTGCGCTTAAACGTGAAAGGTGTAGCTTACAATTGCATATTAAAAGATGTTTGGTATGTACCCGAAGCGACCGTCAATTTACTATCAGTAAGCCAGCTTACTAAGAGAGGCTTGAGTACTTATTTTTTTGGAAGTAGATGTGTCATCAAAAAGGGCGAACTTATGTATGCCACAGCAACGAAGGTAAATCATTTATATGTACTGGACACACATAAAAACATTGTTAATGTAGCTAGTCCTCAGAGTAAATATTGGTTATGGCACAAACGAATGGGGCACCCAAGTGAAGCCACAATGAAGCACATGTTAAAGGAGAAACCAAACAGCATCGACTACAAAACAGTATCGAATGAAGCTTGTGATGTGTGTATTAAGGGCAAAAGTCAACGCCAGCCATGTGGTCAAAGAAAAAATCAAGAAACAAAAGGTCTACTAGAGCTCGTACATAGTGACGTATGTGGCCCTATGGGAGTGACATCACTCGGAGGTGCGAAATATTTGCTGACCTTCATCGACGATTATTCCGGATGGATTCATGTATATCAATGAAACACAAAAGCGAAGTACTTAATTGTTTTAGAAACTATAAAAGATTGGTAGAAAAGCAAACTGGTAAACAAATAAAAAACTTGCGAACTGATAACGGCGGTGAATATGTGAATAGCCAATTTAAAAGCTTTTTGAGTGAAAATGCAATCATTCACCAATTAACTTCCCCGTACTCACCGCAGCAGAATGGAAAATCCGAGCGGATGAATAGAACTTTGTTAGAAAAGGCCCGTTGCATGTTACTAGAAACTAACATTTCACCGGAGTACTGGGAAGAAAGCATCTTAACAGCAGCTTACATCGTGAATCGAATTCCACAAAAAAATGGAAATATTCCGTATGAGAAATGGTTTAACCGAAAGGTGAGTCTGAGACACCTTAGAGTATTCGGATGCACAGCTTATGTACACATCCATAAGGTGCAACGAAAGCATAAGTTTCAAGCACGAGCACGAAAATGCATCTTTCTTGGTTACTCGCCCACCATGAAAGTTTACAGATTGTATTATCAAGAGACGTAAAATTTCACGAGATGTCCAGAAGATATACATTTGACAGGAAACTGAAAAAAACTGTCCACGTATTCCCCATCTCTAATTCAGATGACAAGGAAAAGTTCAACGAAGATGAACACCAAGGGTCAGCGGGGGCTGATTCCAATTGTGAGGACTTGGATGATGAATCTGAAGAGCACGAGCAAAATCAAGAGCAGAACCATTCATCTGTCCCTAGAAATGGTCGATTAAGAAGAAATGTTAGACCACCACAAAGATACGGAAATCCAATTGTGTATGCGGTAGGTCAAGTGCCTTTTTCATATATGCAGGCAATTAAGAACGCAGATTCTAAAGATTGGATTAATGCAATGAAAACTGAGTTAAAGGCGATTTAAGATCAAAAGGTATGGTCTTTATGTGAATTGCCCAGTAATAAGAGAGCGATAAAAACTAAATTGGTTTTTACAAAGAAGGAATTAGAAGGGAAAAGTAAATTCAAAGCTAGGTTAGTAGCTAACGGCTGCGCTCAGGTTAGTGAAGTAGATTTTGGGGAAACATATGCATCGACCGCTAGGAGCACAACTATTAGGATGCTATTTGCATTAGCTGCAATGAAAAACCTAGAACTCAGACAGTTTGATTTCGAGACAGCTTTTCTTAATGGAGAGTTGCATGACGAAATCTATGTAACACAACCAGAAGGTTTCAGTATAGAAGGGAAAGAAAACTAAGTTTATAAATTGCATAAAGCATTGTATGGACTAAAACAATCATGGCGCGTGTGGCAACAGACAATAAAAAGAAAATTGATGCAGATAAAATTGAAAAGGTCAAGCTCTGATGACTGTTTATATTATAGGGCTGAAGGTACGAAAATTTTATTACTGTTGATTCATGTAGATGATATTATTATAGCTCATAATAATGATAAATGGGTAGACGAAATTAAGCAGAGATTGACAGAATCGTTCAAACTAAAAGACTTGGGTTTTCCAAAGTCATTCTTAGGGATAGAAATTAGAAGGGATAACAACACAGGTACAATTACACTAAGTCAGGAGAAATATATTCATGAAATTTTAGAACGCTTTTTTATGAATAAATGTAATGCAGTTTCAACTCCGTGCGATTCTAGCTTAAAACTAAAGAAACCTGAGGTGATAGATTCTGAGTTGATGTCGAGAATACCCTATCAGCAGGCAATCGGATGTTTGATGTATGCCGCGGTAATGACCCGACCCGATATCGCGCATATTGTGTCACATCTGAGCAAATATAACAACGCGTTTGATAGAACTCACTGGGAGGCAGTAAAGAGAGTATTCAAGTATCTAAAAGGAACTGCAGATTACAGACACTTAATTATAAAAGAAACAGAGAAATAGACATTTTAGGTTTCTGCGATGCCGATTATGCCAGTGACGAAGATGACAGAAAATCATATTCTGGCTATTGTTTTAAGATAGGAGATAACCTCGTGAGCTGGTCAAGTTGTAAACAAGCTACTGTTAGCCTTTCAACGTGCGAAGCAGAATATGTATCAATTACCAATGCTAGTAAGGAGGCAATCTGGATTAACTCGCTATTAAGAGA